ATTTATTTTTCCTATGTTAACCTTTATCTTTCCTAACCTAACCTCTTCTATATTACTTGTTTTTTCATACCATCATAAAGTTAAGATAAAATTATTACTACAACATAGTTGTGTGTCGTCAAAAAGTGGAGTTTGGGGATCGGCCCGGTCTCCATTTCAATTAATCCCATATGTTATGTTATTCACTTTACGCGTTTCTCACTTTACGCGGGACCCTCCGGGTTACATTAACCGCGTAAAGTGAGGGTTAACTGTATATATATATATATAAATATATATATATATATATATAGCGTGACTAGTATCCGTCCACCCATCTCAGTGAACCAAGATAGACTTTTGTGAATGATTCTGTATAACTTCCATTCATAACTGTGAGTCTTCAGGAGAAGTTTACACAGGCACCAATTTGGTGGCCCTCCTTTGGACATTTTCAATCAACTGACAGTCCCTAGTATATCACGGGGACCAGACTGGGTGACTACTCCAGATGAGGAAGCATTTCACTCTTGAAGATCGTTACGTGGGACGTGTATGTACTGTATATTATGTATGTTGTATGTATACCATGTATGTACTCTATTTATATACATTACTTCTCTAGTCAGTAGCGTGTGGCAATGCCCCTGTTTCATGTTACCACATGCTTAGATAAATGTGTCTGGCGACATCTGGAAGCTGCTAATGTACCACTTACCACATGTCGCCTGAGAGGTCAGAGAGAGGTCAGTTGACCCCTATAGGAGGGTAAGGACTACCCGTGCTTGTAAGCACACCCTTGTATATTTCCGTTGAATAGAACCTACAGAACTCTACAGGTGTTTATGTTCGCTCCTGTAGTTAGAACCAAGTACCCCGAACATCTCCAGGATGGACCGTCCGGACCCAATAATTTAGTTGCCTGATTTACCTTCTTCTCGTAATAGCCCGAGAACTTCAGCTCATTGTCAACATACACACCTAGGTCCTTTTCACACTCGGTTTCACTTAATGCAGATTCATTGTCCCATTGGAACATGTGATACGCCTCCTTACCGTTAGTACGTTCCAGGTGCATCCTCTTACACTTAGAGACACTGAATGTTAGCAGCTATTTCTTCAACCATTCTTGGAGCTCACAGAGATCCTTCTGCAGCTCTTCACAGTCCACTTGATTCTTAATTTCTCGAAATAATTTGGCATCATTGGCAAACATTGTATGGAGGAGTGTACAGTGTCAGGCACATCATTTATGAAGCAAACAAACAACAGTGGGCCCTATACACTGCCCTTTGGTACCCCACTTGTGATGGGCACACATGATGATTTCCTGCCATTAATCACCAAACACTGCCTGTGGTCATGGAGAAAGTTTCTGATCCAAGCTAGAACATTTATTATTTACACCAAAATGTAAAACATTACAAAGATCACCACCCTGTCTCACTCTACTTGGCCTCTTACAGGTTTTGCAGATAAATGGAAAAAGTGGATTTGATGGGTGGGAGGGAAACACAAGGTTGAGCTAACTCTCTTTATTTTTCTAATGTTTCGGGCTACACAGAACACATCTTCAGGGAAAATACGTTCTGTGTAGTCTGAAACCTTAGAGAATTAAAGAGTTAGCTCTACCCTGTGTTTCCCTCCCACCCATCAAATCCACTTTTTGTCATGGGTCATCTTAAATGTCAATGTCCCCCAAAAATACTTGATAAACCTGCATAATGATTTTGCACTGAAGAAGTTCAAATAAATCAGTATTTATCATCAACTTGCTTTCCACATTTTACCATGTAAACTAACTTATGATAAATTAAGTCATCTAACCTTCATACATGTCTATGGCCGCTCTGATGAAAAACCCAATATCTTCGGCACGTTTTGATTCACTCCAAGCGATCATTTCAAGACGGTATTTTTCCTTATATTCTGAGGCTGTTAACAGCTGGGAGTAATCCAAGCAGTTGGTTTTTGCAAACTGTTGCTTGATAGGGCCAGATAATCGTATGGTTTGACATTGGGCATCATCCAGTCTGTGGGATAAGAGACCAGACAATTAAATAAGAACTAATCACACTACTGACTTACCAAGGGGAAGAAACAAATGTACTGCACATCAATCTCACCATTACAGTGCATCTTAATGTATAGTGTATATGAGAGTATGATATACATGCTTAATGGTGGGATACACTACACTAATAATAGTGTAATAACAATAATAATGGTTGCCCCTCACGTAACGAGGATGGGCGGCCCAAGGGACACCTAGGAGTGAATTTATTTAAGGTGTAGAAGCTGTCGCCAACACAACAACCACACCCTAAGTTAACGAGATGCATAACCCAGTGTCAAGGAATAATCAGAGAAGACCAGACAACTCGCCAACTGCACTGGCTAACCATTACCCCGGAAAATGATCCACAAATCGATTAACATCCAGGTTCCCCAATTGCTGCTGGGTAGACAGAGACAAATGGCATTAAGAAACTTGCCCATAGTTTCACCCTGCCCGGGATAAAACCAGGGTCCACTTGCATGCGAAACGAGCATACTGACCATTACACTACACTACACTCCCTCACACACCACACTACATTCCCTCACACACCACACTGTACTCCCTCACACACCACACTACACTACACTACTACTTTGCTGCCACTCGGAATTGAGTATGACAATCATCCAGCTATGATATAATGATAGGAGTTATTAGGGACATCACCTTCGTTGGTGAGTAGTGAGGTGACTACAGAGGCCGATACAGGACTGGTAGGGTCATCCACAGATGTTGCACATGTGGAGGGCTAAATCTACTGCAGGAGGGGCGGTGGCAGCGTCTTTCTGGCGCTGGCGCTTGTCTGCCTCGGTTTGCAGTCGGGTTAACTCGAAAGCATTGACACCTTCTTGTGTGGTTCTCCTCCAAGCGTTACAGTGTGGAGTGATTGTCTCCTAGGTTAGAGGGTCGATTTGGCACTTTTTCAGGTTTGTCTTAAGACTATCCTTATACCTTTTCAATTGCCTGCGGGTAACATGGCCAGTCCAGAGTAGTTGTTCATAGATAATGGTAGCCTCGATGCTCCTACAGTTGGTATCATCAAGAATACTGGCATTTGTTCCCTTGTCTTCCCAGCGAACTCGGAGGATGGAACGTAGACTACGTTGGTGAAAGTTTTCAAGTACCTTGAGGTGCCTCCTGCATGTAACCCATGTCACATTGCCATATAACGAGGTGGGGAGGACCACTGCTCGATATACGTGAGACTTGGTATATAATTACAGTTCTCTATAGTTGAAGACACAGGTACAGAGTCTGCCAAAGGCTTGAGACGTACATCTGATCAGATGCTGAATCTCTTCATCGATGTTCGCGGTGGTGGACAGGTGGGAGCCGAGATATTGAAATTGGGTAACATTAGAGAGTGTAGTACCATTAAGCTGGATGAATGGTGGAGGTGTGTCTCAACAGGTTGAAAGAGAACCTGAGTCTTACGCACATTCACCTCAAGGCCGAAGTGCGCATACGCATCTGCATAGGTGTTCAGGATCTCCTGTAGGTCGAGTTCAGTGTGAGTGACAAGGGTGAGGTCCTCTGCATACTGAAGTTCAGTAATGGAAGCTGCCGACACCTTTGTTCCTGCCTGGAGTCGTCTTATTTTGAAAAGATCCCTCATCCGGTACTCTATGTCCACCTGAACGGGCTAAATTGGCACTAACATGATTAAGGAAGGCAGCCAAGAAAGAGGAGAGAGAGTTGGTGCCAGTACACATCCTAGTTTTATCCCTGTTAGGATGGGGAAGAACTCAGACTGGGTTCCATTGTGCAGGACAGTGCCAATCATGCCGTCGTGGAGTTGCCTCACAATGGCGATGAATTTTGGTGGGCAGCCAAACCGGCTTTGAGTCCGCCAGAGGGCTGCCCTGTTGACCGAGTCGAAGACCTTGGTTATGTCAATAAATGCCATGTACAGGTCACGACGCTGTTCTCTGCACTTTTCCTGCATCTGGCGGGCAGCAAAGATCATATCAATGGTGCCACGTGATGGACTAAAGCCACATTGAGATTCTGGGAGGAGTTTTCCCCCTCAGGAAGAAATCTGTTTAGGAGGACTCGGGCGATAATCTTGCCAGCTACGGAGAGCAGCGAGATCCCACGGTGGTTGACACAGTCTGACTGGTCTCCCTTGTTCTTATAAATATTGACAAAGGAGGCATCTTTAAGAGCATGGGGGATTTCCTCCTTTTCCCATATGTTCTCCAGGAGAGAGTGGAGACAGCAGGTAAGCAGAGTTCCTCCTGCTTTATACACCTCGGCTGCGATTCCATCAGGCCCTGAGGCTTTGTTATTTTTCATCTGTTTGATGGCAGCAGTTACCTCATCCAGGGATGGAGGATAACTGAGATGGGTCATCTCTGGATGCTGAGGGACCTGCTAGGTAGTTAGGGCATCCACATCGGTGTTTCGGTTGATCAGGGAATGGTAGTGCTCTTTCCAGCGCTGAAGAATGCCTTCTTTGTCTTTAATTAGGGAGTTACCATCGGATGAGCAGAGGGGGCGCTTTGCCATGAGTGATTGGCCCATAAAATGTTTTAGTGTAGTTGAAAAATTTGCACATCTTGTGCTGATCCGCAAGTTTTTGCATTTCACATGCATTATTTTTAAACCAGTCGTCCTTTAGTTTGCCAAGTTCCCACTGTGGAAGGTATCAGCTTTGGTCCTAGACTGAGGGTTGTTCTGCCAGTCAATTAAAGCAGCACGTTTAACATCAATGAGTACAGTACATTGATTGCTGGGTCATTTTCATCAAACCATTCCTGGTGTATTCTTTTGTCCTGGCCGAGGGTCTCTCTGTAGGTTTTGTCATGACAGTGTCGAGAATACTCGATTCAGCACTGGGATTTGGGTTGTTTATTAGCCCATGTTTGAGATGCTCTCTGAAATCATGTGCCCCCGCTGGATCTTCCACCCGCTTCCTGTTAAAACCTCTTCTGGAGGCTTACTGCCTTCACTGTTTTGGGGTGACATGAAGTGAGCATTTGGCCCTGATAAGTTGATGATAAGTGTCGCAGTGGTCTGAGCCACACATTGCTCGGGTGATGAGGACATGTCGGTTAACTCTTTCTCTGACAATGATGTAGTCAATGAGATGCCAGTGTTTGGATCGTGGGTGTTGCCAAAAACCTAAACAAGGTATTGGTGATAGTGAAGTTGTGTGCAGCACACTTGCTGAGGAGGAGTAGGTTGTTGGGATTACACTTGCCAAGTCCAGTTCTCCCTATGGTTCCCTGCTAAATGTCAGAATCTCTGCCAACTCTGGCACTGAAGTCACCAAGGAGCCCAACCTTGTTTTCTCTGGGGATAGAGGTTAGCATTCTGTCAAGGTCAGCATAAAGGCCTCCTTGATGTCATCCTCTGCATCCAGTGTTGATGTGTATGCACTGATAAAGAAGACACAACGTGAGTCATTCAGCGGGAGTCGAAGCGTCATGAGGCGCTCGTTGATCCCAACAGGCATTTCAGTTAGCCTAAGTAGGATGCGTTGGCAGAGGGCAAAGCCAACTCCATAGCTGCGGGTTCTCTCCGCAGCAGGGTTACCCTTCCAGAAGAAGGTGTAGCCATACCCCTGTTCTGTGAGTCGACCCTTGTCTGGAAGCCGGGACTCACTAATGGCTGCTATGTCTATGTTATATCTAGCCAGTTCTTTTGCCACAAGGTCAGTTCTTCTTTCAGGACACTCATATAAGCCAGTATCCAAGAGGGGCCTAACATTCAATGCATTGACCATAAGAGGTTGTATAGTTTGTTTTTGTTTGGATCTGTGATTTTGATTGTGTTTTCTAACCCCATAAGACTAACTTCATGGCACTTCCCAGCAGAAGTCCCTGCAACAGGTGTCGGCTTCAAGCCACGCAGGTGTCATGTATGTGCACACACTGTAAGGCGTAACAGACGACGCCAAATCACTCGTTGGATGTGCGCTGAGTGTGATGTTGGTCTCTGCCTCCCAGATTGTTTCAGAGAGTAACATACAAATGTCAACTTTTGAAGAATGAAAGAAAAAATCAAAGGGGTAAGAGTGTAGGAATTGAGAAGAAAAATATGATACTGTATTAATTTTTTTTATCCATTTGTCTTTCAACGGAATTTGAATTTTAGATGAAAAATATTTATTTTTTATGCATTTCTTTCAGTGGAATTTACTTTTGCAAACATCACACACACACACACCCACACCCCCACACACACACACACACACCCCCACACACACACACCCACACCCACCCCCCACACACACACACACACCCTTCCGTCTTCTCCATCATTTCTTTCTTTCCTTCCCACTTCCTCATATACTGTACTACACTAACCTACTCTTTCCTACCATAAATTACCATACCTCCTCCTCCCTTCCTGATATTACAATCCTATATTTATTTCTTCTTGCCATTATTAATATTATTATTATGTACAGTGGTCCCTCGGTTAACGAACGGTTCGATTAATGAAATTTTGGTTAACGAATTACCTACCACAAAGATCTTCAATTCGGTTAACGAACAAAACTTCGATTAACAAAAATCCTTACGACAAACACGTTTTGTTGTGAGCATCAGCTGATCGGCTAGTCTGCCAATACAGTATGTAATCTGTTCTATGTTGACATTCATTTCCAGTGGAGTAAATATCAAGAAGGTTGTGTTCTTGAATATTTTTGCATTTTCTATATTAAAATTATTGGTCATTCTAAAATTTAGCCATTCAAGCTCTGTCTACATAAAGTTTTTCAACTAATATTTTTGGCAAAGCTGAACTGTACATGTAATCAAAATAATGTACAAAATGATTACTAAAATTATTGTCTAGTGCAAACTATAGCATGTTTACTATCTTATAAGAATTCCAGCAATGTAAATTATATTCTCCCAGGTCACTTCTATGACATTTTATAAGCAAAAAACAAAAACTCAATCTAAAGGACATAAATAAACAAATAAATACTTCACTAGACCTTCAGCGTCAACTGTCAAA